ACCAGCTTGTTGGTCTCTCTGAGCCAGAAGACTCAGCTGCGGCCTCACCTGCTCTGTTTCCTTTCAGAATGCCAGGGAGGTCACTGCCTACTTCCCTGCAGCCCGCTGGTATGATTACTACACGGTACGTTGTTTTCTTGTTGTTTCTACCACCTGGAAGCTGGGCTGAGTGCTAAGAGCAGGTCTTGGGCTCCTGACCCACCTGGTGGTGGCCTTGGGGAAGCGTCTTTCCCCTGCAGGCAGCTTCCTCACCCTCTTGGCACCTGGTGGAGGAGCCCTGCACCTGTATGAGGCCATGTGGAAGTGTGGTCCCTGAGATAGGGAGAGCTTATGCTGGGGTGAGGGAGCACCTCTCCCACCCCTCGGGGCAAGACAAAGATGTTGGGCATCAAGGCAGAGCTGTCGAGTTAAAGACAGGGGCGCACAGAGCACGTTAGACGAGCACAAGCTCTGTGAGGGGTGACATCATTGGCAGATTGGTGAGGGTGAAAATGTGTGGTGAGGGGGACTGGGGGCGAGAGAGGGCACTTGGCTCAGAAGATGCACATGGCGGAGTGTGAGATCAGCAAGTACGGGCCAGATGCCTCATCTACTCTGGTGGGACTGGAGGCACGGAAACACGCGGTGTGAGATAGGGTGATCCGCTGTATGTGCAGCTGTAACGGGCGGCTCAGTAAGAGGTGCTGTAAAATCCTGAGGGCCAGGCTTCTTGTGAGGAATTCCAGCTCTAGGAAGATTTTACAGTAACGCTGTTGAGTCCGGGTGACTAGAGTGCCCCGGAGCGGTGAGCAGGCATCCGGGACAAGCGTCAGCTGGAGCCATGTGTACACCTATGGGTGTAGGGGTGCATGTTAGGGTGTTTGTGTGTGTGTGTGTGTGTGTGTGTGCGCACAAGTATGGGTGTAGGGGTGCATGTTGGGGTGTGTGTGCTTGGGTTAGGGTGTGAGTGTGTGTGTGTGCGCACGCGCATGCATGTGGGCTCTCCCTCGTCACCTCTTCCCTTCCTCTGGCCCACAGGGTGCGTACACTAACAGCAGTGGAGAATGGAAGACTCTGCCCGCCCCTCTGGACCACATCAATCTCCACGTCCGTGGGGGCTACATCCTGCCTTGGCAGGAGCCTGCGCAGAACACCCACCTGAGGTGAGGACGGGCTGGGCTGGGCCCTTCTCTCTGACTCCCTAACACCCCACTCTGAGGCGAAAAGGGCCTGGGTTGGAGCTCCTTGGAACCCTAAGTTGTTCAATTAATCAAAGGAGGAGAGATTGCCCATCCTTCTCCTGCAGAGCAGCTAGCAGCCTCGAACCTTTGGGCTTGAGACACAGCTTCTTGCCACTTGAGCTCCCTGTATAATATATCTACGGTGTTGGAGAAGAGAGCTGAGCCCCCATGAACTTGAAAAGAACAAGCAATTATTAGCGGAGGTGCAGCCAGAGTGATCCTTGAAGGCAAAGATGCCGAAGTTTTGCCCCACATCCTCTGGCATGTTGCGAGGAGAGGCTGTTCCTTAGAGAGGAACATGATGCTTAGAAGGGCAGAGGGTCAACAAAGGAGAGACAGGAAGACCTCAGTCAGGAGGATTGATACAGCGATTGCCACCGTGGGCTGTGTAGTGTTGTCAGGAAGTGTGGGGATAGCACAGGACAGGACAGTGTTCAAATCTGTTGTTCATAGAGTCGCTATGGGTTGTAATCAAATCATACAATAATACATTATTTAGTGATAGCTAACATCATGTAAATCCTTTCTTTGTCAGGTTTCTACTTGTAACTGAGAATTTCTTTTCCTGAACAAAAAAGAAAAATAAATCCTATGAGGCAGGTTCTATTTTATCCTCCTTTTACAGGTAGACAAAGATTGGTGTCGCACAGGTCCTGTGAATGGTCACCCGGCACCACACCCTGTGTCTGTCTGATGTAGGGCTCTGCATTCTTGGAACCCCTGTCCTTTTATTCCAAAGACTCAGATCAAAGCTGAAGAACTTAGTGGAAACAGAACTCCATGTGGGTGGATGTGGGAAATTTGGCCATGAAAAAAGAGAGTCCAGCATCTTATAGGAGTTTTTCTACGCAGTGAGAAGAGAGAACCCAGGCAGAAATCTTTTCGTTTCTCTAATAACCTTAAAGGAAATGTCTGTTGGTTAATTGATTGACTCACTCATACCTGACCCGGTGTCTTGAATTGAGAAGTTACTCTCTCTTGGCTCCTAAGATAGAAGTCTGACACCACGAAGAACTTCCTCCTGCCTTACATTTTCAGTAAAACCTGCACCCTGTGTCCCTCCCTTGCTGTGCCTCATGCCTCTCTCACTCCCTTGCAGCCGCCAGAAATTGCTGGGCTTCAAGGTAGCTCTAGATGATGCAGGCACCGCTGAGGGCTTCCTCTTCTGGGACGATGGGCAGAGAATTGGTGAGTAGGCCATTCTGGGCTTCACGTCAATGCTCTTCACTCCACGACTTGCATCTTCTAGGCCTGCTGGCTGTTTTTCCATTGTCTGATGATCTTGCATTTATACAGGTGGTCATTAATGGGTTTTGCATGTATAACAGATACCGTAGAAAATTATTCTGCTTCATGTCACTGATCCTTAACTGTGAAAGAGTTACCACGGGACACTGGTTCAGCAGTCACTGCAGGAACCAGACAGAACATTTCTTTCTGGAAGGGCGTTTCATATTTCCATGTGGTTGCTTGTTAAGGGAACGTTTCTTAGGAACGTGGAGCGCTGTCTGAAGAAGAATGCCTGCACGTTACATTAGTTGCACTCTTTATATGCAAAATGTTCCATCAAGAGTTTGCAGGAATGAGTACCCGCTCAGAAACGCGCCTCAGGAATTGATAGAGCAGAGGGTGGAGCTTCTGTCCCTTCGTCTCACGCGCTGTCAGGAAGGACTGGGGCCTGGAGCGGGGCATCATGCCTGGTTAGAAAAAACAATCAAAAAGGAAGACCCTGAGCAAGCTGGGTGGACACAGAGCAGCAGGGACTGTTTGAAATGAGCAGGGATGTGAGTGCGGGCAGGGCTGGCCCTCCTGTCGGAGGGGCACAGCATCTTGTGGGTCTGGGAAACAGCGGAGCACTTCTGACCTCTGCTGCCTGATACAGTGACCATTAGCCACGTGTGGCCAGCGAGCCCTTGATGGGGGACAGCTGCACTTGGAAACGGAATTTGAGTTTTAATGAATTTAAATATATTTATTGTACCGGTCCTTGGAGAGGGACATCATGCTTGGGAGGGTGGAGGGACAGCGCAGGAGGGGAAGGCCCTCTATGAGGTGGACTGATTCAGTGACTGGGGTAATCGGAATGGGAGTGTCAGAGGCAGTGCGATTGACACAGGACAGAGCAGAGTTTAGGGCTGTTGTACATAGGGTCGCTATGAGTCACAAGCGACTCGACGGCACATAACAACAACAACAACAACAACAACAAATGTGCTTAACTACCCATGGCTAGTGGCTACGAGTAGACCCCACAGTTCTAAAAGAGAACTGGTGACAAGGACCAGGCAGCGAGCAAATGAATGAGAAGCCGACTCCTGGGAAGAGGAGAGCTCTGAGGGCGGGACGAGTGATGGGATTCCTCTAACAGGTTCCCAATGGGTCCTCCTGCCAACAGGCTGGCAACACACACGCGGACACACACACACACACACACACACACACAAACACACATACTCTCTCTCTCTCACACACAGACTCACAAACATGCTCACACACACATGCTCACACACTCACACACTTACACTCACACACACACTTGTAGCCTAGTGCACTACAACCCTACATGTTTACAGTTTGACTCCACCAGCTGCTTCATGGGAGAAGGATGGGCACGTCTCCCCCTGTGCAATTCACTGCCTCTGAAAACCTGCTGGAGAATCAACTAGGAGTCAGTTCCCCTCCATGGTACACAACAACAACAACAACAAGAAGTTATATATAAGTAGTGAAATAACAAGACTTTTCTCTTGTTCTCTGGAGAGCACATTTTTAAAAATTGCCACTACTTTTTTTCAAAGAGAAAACCACAAGGACATTAGTCTTAGTACCTGTGTGTGCATGGGGGTGGGGGTGGGTGCGCACATGTGCATCTAGGAAAAGGAGCCGCCAGGGACTGCTGGGGATGGTGGACCTCGGGGAGGGCAGTGGGTCTGAGCAGGGCTGGTACACAATCACCACGGTGTAGGCAGTGGCTTTCAGTGCACTGATGTGTTTATACACAGTCATTCAGCCTATGTTGTGTAGATTAGGATCATGAGGGCAGGGCAGAGGAAATAGCCTTTGAGTTCACAAAATCAAGATTTAAAGTACGAAAGGGAGCTCTTTAAAGAAGGCAGATGAAACCATACAGAAACAGCCTTCACTGAGCAGGACGAAGTAAGTAGAATTCTGCCTCGGAACCCTGGATGACGTCTACCATGTTGTCTGTTTGCAGATGTCTATGAAAAAGGACTCTACTACTTTGCCAACTTTTCTGTCAGTCAGGTGAGTGTTCCTGATACTATGAAGAGGAAAGTTCTTCTTACTTTTCCCAAAGCTGAGCCTTATTGGGGCACCACGTGCCACCTAGCACCCCTTCTTTATTTGTATTGACAACCACACATCCTCCTCCCTCCTCTGGACTTTGGGCGGAGAACAGTCTGCTCCCAGGATGTTTTTGGTGATTAACGCATTCACATCTTATCAGCAGCGTTCCCATTCCACCATTGCGTAGATGAACAAGCTGTGTCTGAGTTCGCAGCCCAGGTTTCCGTTTGGCCCGGCATGTCCTCACACTGTATCATTTCCCTGTACACAGGATATATATTCCCCAATAGCTGAGTTCGTATCCTGCAGCGTCCATGGCAGTGCCAGGGACCCTGGGCAGCTGAGCCAATACAAAACAGAGGGTAGACGCAGCAGCGGCCAGAGTGCCAGCGTCCTGGTCTCTTCTATGTAACTCTGTAGGATGACTCCAGCGCTGTTATAATTCACAATCTACACTTACGACTGAAATGATATTGGGAAACTTTGGAACTGATTTGCTTTCTAATTTTCTTCTCCATTTTTTTCTGTCCAATTTCACAGAATACGATGAAGAGCCATATAATCCACAATAGCTACATTGTAGGCACAAACCCTTTGCAATTAGGCCTCATTGAGATCTGGGGAGTGGACAGCGTCACCAGTGTGAGAGTCACTACGAGTAACACAGTTGTTACACCGCAAATCAGCTACAACCCTGCAGCACAGGTAGGTCGGTGACTCCTGAGCTTGGGTGGCTTCCCCCACTTCCAAGAGACCTAGGACCATGCCTGCCAGCTTCCCTCCCCAAGTCTCTCTTCTGCAAAGTCCTTTGGGAATCCCTCTGTGTCCATGGGTCAGCAGAAGCCCCAGGGGAGAGTGAAAAAATTCATGGACTCTAGTTTTTGCATGTTAAATAGACAAAATATTGACTTTGTCAAGGATTTCCCTTTACTTAGTTTTACAGTCAGTGCACATGGAAACAGTGGTCAAGAACTCAGTGTACTGTGTTGGGTAAATCTGCTGTGAGTGACCTACTTAATGTGTTAAAAAGCAAAGATGTCACACTGAGGACTAAGGTGTACCTGATTCAAGGTGTAGTAAATTGACCTTGTACGCATGTGAAAACTGTACTGTGTATGAAGAAAACTACAGAATTAACATCTTTAAATTATGGTATTGGAAATGAAAATTGGATATAGACTGCCAAAAGAATGAACAAATCTATCTTAGAAGAACAATGTTGCTTCTCATGTATGAGGGCATGTGATCTTCCCTGGAGAAGACCGTCATGCTTGGCAAAAGTACACAGTCCAAGAGGACGCACCACCGTGGGAAGGACTGACACAGTGGCTGCGGCTGGGCTCGAGCACAGCACTGTTGTGTCGCTCTCAAGGGCCCAGGGTGACTGTGAGTCAGGACACACGTCTCAGCAGTCGGGAGTCCGAGCCCTTCTGGTTCTGCCGGCTTGTCGGCAGGCACGGCCCTCGACTTCCTAAGCTGGCCCTCAGAGCTTCTCAAAGGAGCCTGTTTCTTCACCCCCGAGACATGCTCAGCCGGAAGATGCGCCATGATTTCACAAGACAGAGAACAGGAAAAACCTTTGAGAATGCATGGAAGAAAGCTTTATTATTACTCAAATATTGGTCTAAAACTCACAGAGTTTTCTAAAGCTTCAGTAGATGCAGATTTTATCATTGTAATATTGGGCACCTGATAAAAGAACCCTGGTCAGTGCCGCTCGCTGGCTAAGGTGCTTTGGAACGTCTTCACACTGTAAATCAGATCCACATAGAATCACGAATGTCCATGCGTTTCCGCCTAGTATTTTCCTCGGGACTCTATGGGTTTGAGTGATTTAGCATCTCACAAAAGATTCTTCCACTATTGTCTGTGAGATATTTAAGACATTTCAGGCATTTGTAAAACCACTTATACCCATTGTACAAGTCTTGATGCAGGTGCTCTATTGATCTTTTCACATCAACCAGGACTCACCTTCCTTCCTCAAATACCCTTTAGTGGAGGTAGTGAATAGTCCACAGCCCCGATAGGGAAGTGCGCACACGGTCTGTAGTTTGAGGCCACCGTCCGCTCCTTGGGATAGAGATGGGACAATCTCCTTTCATGATATAGCCTTGCACACTGTATGGGGCAGCTCTGCCCTGTCCCCCAGGCTAGCCATGACTCAGAGGGCTAGATGGTAGTGGGGTTTTAGGGAACACTGTGGATTGGCAGGAACTCTCCAACACCAGATGCACACACCTATCCTTGTTCCCAACAGGTGCTGCAGGTGGATGCGACCAATATCAACATCAGCCTCCAGGACTTCGTGTCCTTGACGTGGACAAGTGGTCCATGAATCCACAGAGCACGTGGCTGACTCATGCTCCCAGAGACTCTGAAATGACTCCAAATTCCTAAAATTACTGTGTACTGTCATTTGGCTCATGTTCCATAAGTTGTGCTACTTACTCATTTGGACATTTTCTCCGTGAATCTTAAGGGCTGAATCTGATCCTACAGGGTGTGTAGGGAGGGGTGGGGAATCTGTCGGTTACCCGGATGTCTCGGTGTGATGAGCGAGGTACTGTTGGTACGCCAGACGGCATTTGTTGAAGATAAACTGAGTCTGTGATGAAGCAGGTGTGTGTGTGGAGGGGTGTGTGCACGTGTGTATAAGTGTGTGGTTGGAGAACAGGTCTGTCTCTGGCTAAATGTACAAGAAAAGCCTCGCTGGACAGCACTGCACAACGGTGAGGTCACTGGCTTCACTGAACTTGTACAAGTGAAAACTGTTGAATTGGCAAATACTATGTTACCTGTGTTTTTACAATTAAAAGGGGAAAAAGGTTTTGCCAGTTTAGTTCCAGATCTCGGAGCTAACTGACATCTCAAAGAAGTAGCCAGAAAGAACGTTTACCTGTAGAGATCAGAAAGAGGAGGGAAAGATTCTGAAATATGCTTGGAGGGAAGAAAATGCAAGCACAGGGACGTCAGAGCAGGATGGATGGGTCCCTGAAAACAGACCGCGGTGAGGAGAGTGACAAGCAGGGGCCTTAGGTAAGGATATGTACTGCTAGCTGTGTGGGACAGGGCGGAAGGGCCTGGCTACCTGGAAAGGAGAGGAAAGGTCGACGGAGAGCCCAGCTGTGTGGACAGAGAAAAGTGTGGACAGAGGGGTATGTGGATGGAGGGGGTGTGTGGACGGAGGGATGTGTGGAAGGAAAGGTGTGTAGACAGAGGGGTGAGGGTGAGTTTTAAGCAAGTAAAAGTGCAGGACAGGGTAAATGATGGCATTGCATGATGAGTATTAATGTTCTAAGGTAAATGTATATAAGCAATTGAATGAAAACCAATAAAGAAATAATTTATTTTATGGCGGTGTGCTTTGAAATGTCTAAATCCTGCTCTTCTACTCTGTGTCTAATGTGTGTAACCACAGTTCATCCACACACGTCGGGCTGTGCTGGAGGATATGAAAGTGTGCAGATCTGTGAGAGATGCTGAGTGTTGGGATACATTTTCCCTGGGGCAGCTCTCGTTGTGAACGTTCCTTATTCAGCAAACCCTGTGCATTGTCGTTCTAGGCCTGTTTAGAATCAGAGCTCCACATGTCTAATCCAGCCCTCAAATGATCTGGACTTGTTATTATCCATCCTGTTTGCTAATGCTTAGGCTTGAGGTTTTCTTCTGTGTTTGAGTTTGTTGATGAAAAGATTTTGATTTAGGTTTTTTTGAAATCATTAACCTAAAACACCTGAATGTAACCCATTTCCATCATGTTGATTGCAACTCACGGAACCAGTGGGCGTTGACCATTTGAGTAAAGGGACTACACACTAACTTTCCCCAGGAATGTTTACTTTCTGTGTTGGAAGCAACTATGTTTGAAATGAATGTGTTTATTTCTGTTTGCTTATTCACAACTTAACCTCTTCATAAGGCTACAGAAACGCAGTCTTAGAAAATGGATTCAGTGGTCTAATTATCAGAGATAAGGGATTTGGGATGAGAATCCTATCCAACTGTACAGCCAGTGAAATGTGGGGGTAGGACTATTGGACTTTCTTGGTGGAGAAGGGGAGAAGCCTGTCAGGTTCTCACTGACAGCCCAGGAAGCTCACCTGGGAACACACGTTACCCGGCATGTCACCCTCATGGACAGATGGGTGCAAGTTGACTGACTGCCAAAGTGTCGAGGGAGAGGCCTCCTGACCTAGAACCCTGAGTGCCACGGCCCCCAGCAGGACACAGAGGGGTTAGAATACCTGCAGTGCTGTGACCACCCGCCCCATCGGCAGTCTGGTGAAGCCATTGTGACTAAAGCTTCCAAATGCATAAAGTAAAAGGCACACGATTGCACGGAAGCCCATTGTATTAAAAGGCTCCGGTTGTGTCCATTCATCGAGTCTCCTGTGTGTCACAGTGGGGCTGTGCTCCTTGGGGCTTTCCATGGCTGCTTTTAAAGCAGGTCGCCAGGCCTTTCTCCTTACGTGCTAAGGTGGACGTTTTGGTTAGCAGAAGAGTGCATGGACCATGTGTGCCTCACAGAAGTTAGACTTCACCATAACACAGGACCCTTGTTACCTTCTACTGAGGGTCATGGCCATGTTGACACAAGTATTAACCATCACATTCCCTTCTTGCCATCCCAGTAGTCAGCAAGGGTGCTGCCTCAGGCGTGGAGGCTGGTGCTCTGAGAGATGAGGCTCCCACATATTATCAGGACTGACTTGAGCACTCCGCGTGCTTTGAGCACTTCATGAGATTTGTTAATAGGTAACACTGGGAAAGTCTGCTATCAGGAACCTCTTCCAATTACTGAGGAGCAAATGATGTCAGTTTGAAGGCTAAGGTGCGCCTCATGACCATGGTCTTTTCAATCACTTCTATGCATCAGAAAGCCAAACTGAATGAAGATGATAGAAAAAGAATTGATGCCTTTGAATAGTCGTGTTGGAGAAGAGTATTGAACAGCCCACATCCTGTCAAAGGAGCAAACACTTAGGTCTTTGAGAGAGTGAAGCCAGAATTCCTCTTTGAGGCAAAGATAATAAAGCTTAATGTCTCATAGTTTGGGCATGTTGCCGAGAGAAGCTATCCCTTGGAAAGGGACACCATGCTTGGAAAGGTGGAGGGTCAGCGGAAAAGAGGAAGACCCTCAACGAGACGGACTGACATGGTGACTGTAGCAATGGGCTCACGAGGGTCAGAAATGATGACGATGACACAGGATAGGACAGGGTCCACAGCTGTTGCTCACAGGGTCTCTAGGAGTCGTAGTCAACCTGATAGCATCTAACAACAATGAAAACAGCATGCCTTCTTGCTGGCTAAGGCTGGAAAATACGTGGTCATGTATTGGCCTTTGCTCTTCTAGATGGTTCCATCTTTGAGTCATTGGTCAGCACAAGTATCTTCCACTTAATAGGTTGCAAAAATGTATGCAGAAGCTAGCCACCTTTGTCAGGATGTTAGGAAGCAGATGATAGCTGGGATTGTCTCTTCCCAATGAAATGAGAATGATGTTACAAATGAGCATGGAATTTTTGGGGTAAAGAGTCAAATACCATACAAAAAATCAGAAAAATATCTTGTATCAATAAATCTCTATTCTTGATTTTGGGCCAGGGCATCTTCTCAATTTGAACTGAGATGAACTTGATTTTCCTTCTAGTCCTCTTGTAACAGGACTTTATAAAATTAATAAAGTGGACACATAATTCTAGGAGTGGATAAAGAAATCAAGGTGGAGCACGTGTGTGTTTGAACACACACGCATGCGTGCACGCACACTCTCACACACGCACTCACATACCGAGCGCTTGAGGGAGACGTGAAGTCAACTGTGAACCACGTTCTTTACAGTTTTCACTCATTAGTTGTCACTGGGTTGATCCCAACTCAGAGAAACCCCCTGAGCAACAGAAGGACACACTGCCCAGTCCTACACTGTTCTCTCAGCCGCTCCGTCCTTGAGCCCGTTGACGCTGTCCCCTGTCAATCAAAAGAACCTACTTTACCATCATGCATTGCCGATGGCAATGTAAACGGTGAAGATGCTTCGGAAATCAGCTGGGCAGTTCCAAAATTGCCAAAGATATTGTTGTTGTTATGTGCCGTCGAGTCGCTTGCGACTCATAGCGACCCTGTGTACAACAGCCCTAAGCTCTGCTCTGTCCTGTGCCAATCGCACTGTCTCCGACACTCCCATCCCGATTACCCCAGTCACTGAATCAATCCACCTCATAGAGGGCCTTCCTCTCCTGCGCCGTCCCTCCTCCCTCCCAAGCATGATGTCCCTCTCCAAGGACTGATCCTTCCTTACAACATGTCCATATAGGTGGTACCATATAATAGTCATAATTCTCATTGTTAGGTGCCACCAAGTTGGCACTGGCTCGTGGCAACCCTGTGTGCAACTGGATAAAAGCCCGCGAAACCTGTGCCGTTCTCACACAGGCTCTGCTGCGTCACCGTGTTGATACATCTCGTTGGGGGTCTTCCTCTCCTTCACCCGCAGTCTTTGTAGTGTGATGTCTTTTTCCAAGGACTAGTCCCTTCTCATAACATAATCAATCCCTTTGTCTTTGATGAAGACAAAATATCTCTTCAGTGAAAAAAAGGGGAAAAAAGACACCAAACACCCAAAACTCAACCTCGTTGCCTCTAAGGGATATTCTGGCTGCACTTTTTCCAAGAGAGAATTATTTGTTCTTTTGACAGTTCATGACAAATATATTAAATATTCTTACCAACAACACTAATTACTCCTAAGTATATATATATATTTTTAAGAAATCCACTGTCTTCAAGTTGGTTCTGGCTCATTTTAATCCACCATTGGGAAGCTCAAGATGTAAATAACAGAGACGAGGCTTCTCACTTCCCACAGTTCCACCTGAGAGCCCTTGGGGGGTTCAAGCCACTGGAAACTCGCGGGCTTTGGGTTAGCAATGTGATTCACTACATACTAGAGCTGCCAGTGTGTGTGTGTGTGTGTGTGTGTGTGTGTGTGTGTGTGTGTCTGTGTATTAGAGACTTGAGAATCTATACATCCACACAAAAAACTATATGTGAATGCTTACAGAAATATTAAGCATGGATTTATAGTAGCCCAAGTGTCCATCAGAGAGAAATACATACAATATTATATACATATAATGAGTTATTATTCATCAATTTAAAAAGATACTTGCTACCAACTGGATGAGCCTTGAAAACAATGAGTGAAAGAAGTCTAACATAAAGTCGCATATAGGTTCTGATTTGATTGCTAGGGGAATGTTCAGAATAAGCAAATCCATAGACATAGATAAAGTAGATTAGTTGTAGATGTAATTACTAATGGATATAAAG